TTAAATACTTCAAACATGAAAGGATCTTTTTTGTTTTTTGACTTCATGATGCAAATACAAAAGATTATACATAAGATATGAGTCAGTTTTGGCATTAGTGTAAAAAATGATTCAATTGATTGAAAAAAAAATCAATTTATAAAACAGCTGTCATATTTCTACAGTCTCACTGTAAATATATTCATCCCGCGCACCCTTGTCTGATGAGTCAGCTAATACCTGTTTCAGATTGCTGCTTCATCACTGAAGGGGAGAAATGCCCAGACTCAGCTGTCTCTGCTCATCACTTTAGTCATGCAGACCTTTCCATCTTTCCATTAGAAAATATACCACAGCCATAACCTTTCACTAATTCTGTTACACAGTCCAAAAGCATCCGTGCCAAAGCTGCAGCAGCTGCTGTGTGTCCCAAACACTGCTCATAGAGAGTTCATATAGAAATTAGTCTTTGTTCAAAATGATCCAGCAGTGCAATCGCTGCAGTTGTCTGAGATGAGCTACACTGACAAAGCTTGATTGTGCCAGGCTTCTTGTGTTAGGTTTTGCGCTGGGTTGTGATGCGTGTGTCTGGTTAAATTGGATTGTCTTGGGAGATGTTACGTATGTGTGTTGTATTATGTTGGGGTGTTTGTGTTCATGTTTGGGGTTTGATGTAATTGTTTAAGGTAGGGATGGGTCACTATACTCAATTAATTGGCTAGGCAACAACTTACTAGTTGAATTAGGGCTGCGAAATAAATTGAAAAAAAAAGAAAGAAATCATGATATGGCTTAGTGTGGTTACAACATTGCAAAGGCTTTGATTTAATTAAATATATATGCGCTGAAATATATATACACTGTAAAAAAAATTCCGTAAAATTGACGGTAAAAAATACGGTAGCAACGTTTTGGTTTTAACTTAAATGTACAGTTAAATACCGTAATTTCCTTCACTGATATAATGTTAATAAACCAACCTTATTGAAGTACTGAAATCTGTTTTGTACCTTTGTAATACACTGATAACCACCAAATGCAGGTGGTGATGAGAAAGTCACATGATGAACCAAAGCCCATCACAAGCAGCTTTTAAATAATAACATATATAGAAGGTGCACAGTGTCATTCACACAAACACTAAACACCATCATGGTAACACACATGAAACTGAAATAATGCAATAAACATTCATTTAACAACATTAGGTGTAACACACAACCCTAATATACAAAACTGATAAGAAAAAAAACTAAGAAACATAGTTATTTCTACAAAAACCATTTAACAGGTTTTTTACTGTAGCATTTTTAGTCTTTTACCGTTAAATTCACGGTCATTTTTTACAGTGAGTGTTTCAGTGTAAGTGTTCTTACAATGAACAGCCCTATACAAACAATCACAGAAAACCTCAGTTTACATTTCCAAATCCAATCATCCATTTTGCCATTAACTTAATGCAATATAACGGCTGTAGTATCTTGCCTGATCTTTCACACTTATTTTGCACATGGTTGTTGTTGATGAGACACATGCAGCTGCGTAGCTGATGTGTAGTCACTTCTGAAGTGGAGTAATCACTTCTCATTGAAGTGTATTATAAGCCAAAACTGAAACGTGTTTACAAGTTCAGTCTACATTTGATTTTCCTAATTGTATATGTACAGTACATGTTCCCATTCTTGAACAGACTGCATACATGCATTTGTCTTACAGTGGGAGACGAACTGGCATCCCATCAATTACATTAAGTAAGCTACAGATGTGCTTGTATTATGCAAAACTCAGTTTCAGTTTGGGTTTCAGCCCAAAATTTTCATTTTGGTGCAGTCATGCACAACTAAAAAGCAAAAGCTTTTTTATCAATCCGTAGAGCAGTGTAAACCATGAAACAGTTGTGCACTGTTACAAAAATAAAAATCACTAGAATCTCTAGGGCTAAAAATCTTCACACACCTGAGGAGACCAACACATTCACACAAAAAAGAAAAGAAAAGAACGAAAAGGGGCCCCTAGCGATCTATCTCTCAAGTTACATGAGCACAGATGGCCTGGTGTACTTTTTCCCTGATTTGTCCTGTTCCAGTGTAAACAAATGCCAACCTGTTCATCCACCGCCCTGGATACTCACAGTATCAGAGACATGTTTCTTTTTTTGTTCGTTTGTTTTGTTTTTGGGAATTGTGTGGCTTCCTTCTAATAGATTATAAAAGTAGAAACAACAGCAGTGGTTGTTTTCACACCACAGGAAGTTATAAGAAAGACAGGAAGGAAGACTTATGTGTGGCACTAAATCTACTTGTATGGCATCTGCTAGGACTTCCAAAGATATACTTACTACAAGGAAACTTATTTAAGCACTTGTTTCTGCTTTGACTCACACAATCAGGAACACACTCAGGACAGCAACTATGCAAAGCCGGATATTTCTAACTCACATTCTGTCCAAAATCATCTTATTATTAAAGAAGTGTAACTGTTAACGCAGATCTATGTGAAAACTGCTTCAGCACTGACTAAGGGACATGCAGTCATGCAGCACAAATGGGCTTTCAACACCCAGAGCCCACTGCGGTCTGTTCACACACTTGTGAGAATGTTGTACATGTCAGTGTTCAGTATAAAAATTGAAAAAATGTTCTCGTAATAATACTGGGATTGTCATAAGCGAAGCAATGAGACTGTCTGAA